TGCTGTGTAGACAAGAATACCGAGGCTCCGAGAAGTTCAGGCTGTTCACCAGCCCTACTTAGGATCAGCGGCAGCACGACGTGGCTTCTAGCTGCTGCAGGTCTCACATCTGCTGTGTTGAGCCACGGTGAGAGGTCAGCCAGTGTTGGCTGAATGAGTAAAGTCACAAGAGATGCCGTGTGCCTGGGAATGAGCAGCAGGCGCTCTGGCTTAGCTGGACTGGCACCTGCGGATGCGGGTCTACCTCGTGTGCACAGGGGGTGTGCACCAGGAAGAAGCTGGGGAAGGCACATCACCTCACGAGGGTATGTGTGCCTTTAAGGAAACCCTCTACAAACTAGTTTTGCATTGCATGTGATTACCTTCTGATTTGTCAGGTTATCTTTCTTTCTTTTTTTTTTTTTTAAGATTTTATTTATTTATTTGAGAGAGAAACAGCATGAGAGGGGAGAGGGTCAGAGGGAGAAGCAGGCTCCCCGCTGAGCCGGGAGCCTGATGTGGGACTCGATCCCAGAACCTTGGGATCATGACCTGAGCCGAAGGCAGTCGCTTAACCAACTGAGCCACCCAGGCACCCAGGTTAGAGTTTCTTAAAGCAGAGCACCGTGGTGTGACTAAAATACAGTGCTCTCTGCCCAGTATCCTCGTTCAGTGGTCCACGTGTGTATGTTGACTTCTAGATCCTAGGGGTACACTGTCTCTCTCACTGTCAGCCCCTACCTAAAGGAAGGGCCTTGCCCCGCAACCAGGGCACTGGCAATTTCTAGTGAGGAGATTCCTTCAGCTCTACTGTTAACTATATTCCTGCACTTAATTGCAATTCTCATATAAAATCAGAGAGTCCCTTTATAGTTTGACTCAGAACTCCCCTTCCTCCCCACTGAGATTTGTGTTCCTTTAGTTACAAGAGGCAGGCTGTCCGGCTTTGCGTCTGAAGCCAGAAGTAAGTGGGGTTCTGGATACTTGGGTGCAGCTCTGGGCTTGTGTGTGTGGGCCCTCCTGCTGGGATGGTCATAGCAGACAGGAGCAGCCAAGGGGCCGGGCTGGCCGAGGTACCAGACGCAACGTGGCGTGGGTGTGAACGTTCGCTGCCTGGGTGCCGCCACCTCTCTCGGCTCCTGGGGGCCTCGAGTGTGAAGTGGGAGGAGCAGGTGGTCTGACAGGCCATAGATCGGCTTGGTGCCTCCAGGGGCGGACCTAGCTCTTCAGATGGCCACCAGACCCGAAGGCACTCCATAAAACGAGCTGTTTCCAGACGGGTCGGGCCAGTTCCGTCTGGTGGCGTTCGTGCTTCCTGCCCAAGTGTTGTAGGATCCCAGCCTGACTGCCCAGTGAATTAGGTGCCCACAGTCGGTGAGGCTTGAACAGGCACCGGGGAGGCGGGGCCAGTGGCCGAGGCCACTGCTTTCTCTTTGGGGGCAGCACCCCGGAGGCTTGGGCACTTCTACTGTCTGTGGGTGCTCGTGCTGAAGCAGCAGTCCCATGGCAGGAGCTGGCGAACGCACGCCTCCTGACCCCATCCCCTGGCCCTTTCACCATCCAGCTGAGTAATTCCCAGACACATGGAGCTGTTGTTCAGGGTTTGTTGGGGTATAGTTTCTGCCCCTGTCCTCTCGTTGTGTTGTAAACAGAGCCCCCCACGAGTCCCCCCCCCCCCCCCCAGTGTCCATCTTTCTCCGGGGTTGAGGAGAAAGGTTGGGTGTCTTTGGTAGAATACAAGCAGAGCAGAGTTCAGGTGCAGGCTGGGTTTTCAGATTTCTCTCAGCCCCCACGGCTCCGGGCCCCTGATGTGGGGAGCCCCCCACGCCAAGGGCACACTGCCCTCCTCTGTTTGTGGGTCCGGAAGGCGGGGTGGGGGCATCTGCTAGCCTGCCTGTGCAGAGACTCGTGTCATCCTCACCACCACTCTAAGTAAGTTCCTTCTGATGTATCTGTTTGAGATGAGGAGTCTGAAGTTCAGGGAAGTTAAGCTGTTTACCAGGGGCAGAGCTGGCTTGCAAATGTGGGGCTGCCTCCCTCGAAGGCTGGCTTCTTTCCAGTTTACCAGCGTGGGGGGATTCAAGAGATAACAGCCATGGCTGAACCTGGCTTTATCATAAGAGTTTCAGCAGCTTCATGAAGTAGCACCAACTACATTTAAATGAGCAGGAGCCTGCCTTTGTGCTCTTGCTGCCTTTCTTCTCTGATAGGAGATTTAAGAAGCTCAGTGCTCGTGAAAAGCTCTTATTCCTTTGGGGGGAAGTTACGCCAAGAGAGTGTGCACTGGAAGGCAGTGCTTAACTCAGTGCCAGTTGTGTGACTTCGGGTATCATCGAGGGAGGCGGCTTGGGTCCGGGCCCTTCCTGACCCTCACCCAGGTGACCGCCTGGTCTGCCTTTGCCTAAGACCTGCCTGAGTGGGTGAGAGAGGTTTCAGGAAGGGCAGTGGGGCAGAGCCCTGGGTCCTGAACCCCTAAGAATGGAGGTGGGTGTACAGTCTAGAGCTGAGTAAATAAGGGGTGGGGGGAGAGCTGTGGCCAACGTCTTCCTGCCCCAGGGCAGCCCCTGCTTACAGGAGTGATCTGGGCTTGACCCCCTGGTGTTCCCTTCAGTGCTGCCCACAGCCCACACTCACCAGGCCTCTGACCTCCCTTGCACATAGCCCCTGGGGTGTGCCCTGCCCGTGAGAGTGGGCCAGGTGCCTGATGCTGCTGCAGCCCGAGGGCAAAAGCCAAGTCGTCCCTCCCTTTCTGCTCCTGTGTGGGGAGGACTCCTAGCCCTGGACAGACGTGGGATGCGGGGTATCGACGCTTCAGCTGGGCCTGCTGGGCCTGCTCTCCCCCTCAATTTCATGACCCACAGTGCCTGGGCCTGTGACGGCCTATTTGCTGTGTTTAGAGTACACTCGGGATTTTGGATTCAGCCTGTGGTTTGCTGGGTCTCTGGCGTGGAGGACACCGGCCGGCCACTGTCCTTCATGGCAGCTGGCTGTTTGCTCATCGGAGCTGGGGACAGTCAGACTGGTTTTCTTCAGTGCGAGCTAACTTGACACAGTCTAGGTGAGCAGTGATATGCCCTGGGGAGTCCCTCCTAGGAACCTTCTCCCGAGGGGACCCGGACTACCTATGCCTGGGAGGGCAGGGCTTTCCCGAGAAAAGGGTGGTGCTGAGAGAGCCCACGCACCCTTGTCTCTCTCGGCAGTGGTAGGAAGTTCCTGGTTGGGCTAGTGTGTGGGGACAGGACAGCAGGAGGATTGGCCAGCTGGAATGGGAACCACGCCTCCTGCTTTCCCAGGGTTTTCTCCATGCCCTCCCCCCTTGAGCTGGGCCACCCCTGCAGGTTAGAGGGGCCTGGCAGTCTGGGAGCCCCCTGCACCCAGCCCCACCCCAGGGAAAAGCTGCATCTGAGGTTCTCACAAGTCCGCCTTCAAAGCATGACTCATACTCGCTCTCCTCAGATGGGAGTGCAGCGAGGCAGGCGGCAGAGACCCCAGCCTCTCCTCAGGACGGTGAGTGACATTGCTGTCTGAGGCACCACATGAAAGTTAGGAGTTCTCTTGCCGGTGACAAGGGGTTCAGTGGATTCAGGAGAGGCTAGCAGGAAGCTCTTAGGCTTGATTTGGAAATGTGATGTGCACCCTGTGATTTACAGGCTTCCTGGGATCCGGGGACAGTGGGTGTCCCTGAGGGACTGGAGAGCTGAATGGGAGGTAAAGGAGGAAGACACTATAGGGAACACGTCCCCAAGTTCTGGGGACAGGCTCCCCTCCTCCCAGCCTCTCCCTGCTGGCACCTTTTGCATGTGGAGAGGGGGAGTCTGAGGGGGTGGGGCCAGTATCGCAGAGTCCACCCTTGCAACTGGTCCACCAGCAAACTGGGCGGGTAGGGGGGCAACGATGGACAGGCCAGTCAGCCCTCCAGTCAGAGCACTTTTGCTTGCCAGGCTTGCAAGCACCTCCCTGAGCTCACTCTCTTTCCCATCTGGCCCCTCCTTGCTCTGTACTTGGTGTCCATGTCCTTAAAGGCCACAAGCCCAGGTGACCTTAGCCTTGGCCCCCAGCCATTCCCAGGCCTGACTCCTCCGGTAACTTGGGGCCTGTTGAGGGGCTTCGGCTCTTGCTCAGCTGTGCGGTCTGTGGTCTGTTCACGGATCCTCTGTCTCCAGGCCCTTTGGGGGTGGGGAAGGGCTGGGCCTAGGCTTTCCTAGGAAATACAGATGTGCTTCTTGTTGGGGCTCCTCTTCCAGCAAAGGGGTGCCCCGTGTTTGAGAAGAGGGCCTGTGGATTGTAAAGGATGCTTTTTCGGAGTGCAAGGAGGCATTGCTAATAAGCCCGCTGAGCAAACAGGGATGGGGGGCCACCCTGCATGGGAGCGGGGCGGGGGGGGAGGGCAGTGTTAGGGAGCCTATCCGACCACCTGGGATTTCTTAGGAGCCCTCCTCTATCTGTGCTTCAGGGAGGAGTGGGTTTGCTTCCTGTGCCCCTGTCTTGCCCCACCTGGTCTCCGGGCAGTGGCAGGGTCCTGCATGTGGCCAGAGCTGTGCCTGGCACGGTGCCTCCCTTTTCCAGTTTTCTGAGTCCTTTCTGAGCCTGACACCCACGATGCTCTCAGCCTGGTTTTCCGAACTCTTTCTCAACTAGTACAGTGTGTGTGGGGAAAGAAGATAACCAGTGACCCCAGCCACTGGCCCACGGCCACAGGAGCTGCCTGGGAAGGGCTCGGGAATCCATGGGAGCCTTCAGGCTTGGGGCTTTCAGGGTTAAATCCTGGCCCAGCAGGGACTGCTCCCAGCCTTTCTGGGAGAGGGAGTATGAATAACAGCAGCAGTGGCGAAATCAGGCTGGAAAGCCTGGGCCTGCTGGGTGGGGAGGGGGCTGCGGGGTGCCTGGGAGGGCAGAGCCTTGTCTGGCACCTTGTTAGGCAGCACCTTGCTTTGGGTTGGGGAGCAGGTAGGGAGTGAACGGCTGAGTCGTCTCACACCACTGACACTGACGCCTCCACCCCCCCCCCCCCCCCCCGCCAGTTCTTCATTGCCTTGGCCGTGCCAGCTTCCAGGATACAGCCCAGCTCTGGCCTCTCATTCAGGACGGGGCCCAGGCTGCCCCAGGTATGTTGGGGGTAGGATGCTGCCTGGTCATGGGCATTTTCTGTCCAGGGGTTTGGGCTTCCTGCCATGCCCCACCCCCCCAGTCCTCTTCTCTGCCTGGCATCTTGCCTACCAGGAGGGAGACCTGAGAAACAGGGCAGGGCTAGCAAGGCAGCCCAGGTTTGGTTTGTTGGTTTGTCTCCAGTTAGTTCTTGTCTTTGATACTTTATTTCCCGAACTCTTAGAGGCTGTTGCGTGGGGTCCCTACCCAGGAATGCTGGCTCCTGGGGCCAGCTGAGACCTCCCCTGACCCTGGACTCCTCACAGCCAGGCCTTCCCCTTCAGGGGGCTTTTCCAGCAAGACCCAGGTTATGGCTGTCCTGCTGTACGTGCCAGGCAGGGTGTCGCCGCAGGCTGGACTTTGTTTTTCTCCACAGCCCAGCAGGCGGGTCCTCACCTTAGCTCCTCACTGTCTCTGTCCTTATCTTCCTGTGGCCAACCTCAGAAGCCCCAAGATGGGGGAAGGATTGGTAATGTTATTGAAGGAGCAGATGGGCTCCCACCACCCCAGCCCCATCCTGGCTTGGTGTCTTCAGAGCCTCTTCCTGACCTGTGATAAGTATCTAGCGGGAGAAGGACAGGTAAAGAACTGAGAACTTTGCCCCCAGCGCCTTCTGTCTTCTGACCCCAGGGCCTGCATCCTTCCATAGGCTGTTGAAGGGCTTAGTTCAGAGAAGGACCCTAGGCTAAAAGAAGAGTGGGGTAGCCAGTCCTTGCACAGCTGTTGGTGGCCTGAGCCCACTGGACCTTTGCACTCCGGAAGAGGGGTCTTGGGAAAATCCAGGCTGTAGATGGGGTGAGGGTAGGCCAGAGTTACTGAAGGGGGAGGGCGTTGACACTGGACGGGCTGCAGCAGAGGAGAAAGCAGGCCAGGCAGGTCACGGTGGGCTTCTCGCTTCTGCCCTGCAGATTGGAAGTACCCCATGACACACACACGGAGGAAGTCCCTTCCCATGCTGAGTTCGGGCCCCTCTGGCCGCCGGGAGCCCCTGCAGATGGAAGGCAGCAGTACGGAGCCGGGGGCAGAGAGTGTGGAAGCAGGCATGCCCGAGAGCCCAGGACACCTCACCGGGCGCCGCAAGAACTACCCACTGCGTAAGCGCCCATTGGTCCCCGAGAAGCCCAAGGCCTGCAAAGTGCTCCTGACCCGCCTAGAGAATGTGGCTGGTCCACGGAGTGCAGATGAGGCTGATGAGCTCCCCCCTGACCTGCCCAAGCCCCCAAGCCCAGCCCCATCCAGTGAGGATCCTGGCCTTGCCCAGCCCCGCAAGAGGCGCCTGGCCTCCCTCAATGCGGAGGCCCTCAATAACCTGCTGCTGGAGCGGGAGGATGCCAGCAGCCTGGTGGGCACCCGTCGCAGCCGAGGGGGCGACTCTCACCGCAGCCGGGACCGGGCCACGGGGGGCTGGTCCTCCTCCAAGAAGCGGCCCCGCCTCGAGGACCTTGGAGGAGGAAGTCGGGACCTGTCCCCAGAGCCAGCACCGGATGAGGGTGCCCGTCGAGATGGTGACCCAGCGCCCAAGAGACTGGCCAGCCTGAATGCAGCTGCCTTCCTGAAGCTGAGCCAGGAGCGGGAGCTACCCCTGAGGCCACCGCGTGCCCACCCAGAAGCAGAGGGGCGCTCCACAGAGCCACCGGCGCTGAGGGCTCCGAGGCCAAAGTGGGCTAATAAGGTCAATGGCAAGAACTATCCCAAGGCCCAGCAGGGCCCTGGCTCTGGGGAGGCTGTAGGCCCACTCGGCTGGCAGAGGCACCCCGAGGAGCCATGGCCATCCGCCACCCCTCGGGGGCCAGCCAGCCAGCCACCTTACCAGCCCCTGAGCAAGGCTCTGGAGAGTCCCTTGGGGCTGCGCCCCCACCTGCCTCTGCTGATGGGCGGGCAGGCAGCCTTGAAGCCAGAGCCTGGGCGCCCGGGTGAAGAGTCGCCTGCCCCCAAGCAGGAACTGCACCAGCCTTCTTTCCCCACACCCCAGCTGTCCCCCCTGCCAATGCCTGGCAACCCTGCCCACTACAGTGGCCTGTGCGGTCGACCTGAGCTCACTGCACTAGGCAGCTTCTACCTTTACTGCAGCCAAGACGGGCTGCAGTGTGGAGGCTACGCTCCCTGCCCCATGCTTCCCGAGGGCAAGTTGTCCCCAGTGGCTGCACCTAACGAGGGGCTCCTCTTGGCACCGAGCTCAGTGCCTGCAGGCACCCCTTTCCAGCACACTCCCTGGGGCTCTCGCTACTGTTCTAGCGAGGACACTGGAGTGAATGGCTACAGCATCTGTGAAATGTTGCCCCCATCTCTTACCCACATCGGCACTACCTGCGGCGGCTGCCCCTACAAAATGCCTTTTGCAGCAGGTAAGACTTCCTAGGTGCGGGATGTCCAGTCGCAGCAGGGTGGGCCATGGATAGGCGTGGGGCTCCTTGAGGTCTAGCTACTACGTGGGAGGTCGGGGGCTTTGGGAAGGGAGGCCTCCCCTAGTTTCGCGCCCCAAACCGTGGAGTAGTCCCAGAAAAGGGGCCCGTGTCTAGCTCTTAGCTCTGTTCCCCACTGTCTATGGGGATTTCTTGTCATGGCAGGTAGCATTGTGGCAGTGGAGGGGGCAGGGAGAGCCACCCCTCCGTCCCCATCAGGATGCCCGTTCTACTCTTGAGTAGCAAGTTACATGTTGAAAATAGGGCTTTTGCCAAGTCACTCTTGTGTCCCTCTGCCTCCCTCAAGGAGAGCTAGAATTCTACCTTGCAGGAGCCCATTCTATCTGCGTGCTGGCCTAGTTCAGTGTTCATGGGAAGGGTGGTGGGTACTAGGCCCCGTGCCAGCCGCAGGAGGACTCCTTTGCCCTGGCCGTACAGGCCTTGAAGGGGACGTAGTACGCAGACGTAGCCTCACCTCGCGAGGGGCTAACAGAGTGGGCACACGCCAAGAACAGACAGGCAGAGTCCCCTACACAGGCAGGATGCTAACAGGGCCTGGAGCTTTGGTGTCTGCCTTCCTAGCAAGGCCCGGACACCTGAGAGGCTTGCACTGAAGCCGGTGGGACAGCCCTCCACGGGGCTCTCTTCCCCCAAACTGGCAGAAGTGTCCTCACATGCCTCTCCAGGCTCCGGCCCTGGCCCCCCGGGTGGAAATGAGGTGACCAGAGCCATCCTGTCTGGCAAGTCTGCCCTGCTGCTGGTGAAGTGAGAGGCCAGGCCTTACCAGGGCTCTCCCTGCCACCACCCCACACCCCTTCTGGTAGGGGTCTATAAAACAACTTTATAGACCAGTTGACTCTGGCCAGACTGGTTGTTTCAGGTTTTGGCGTGACTTGGAGCTCTAAGAAATGAGATCAGGCTGCTGCTTGGGCTTTTCCTTCTTTTTTGCATCACTCTCCCAAATCTAGACCCCTCATCCGTGGGACCCAGGACCCTGCCCCCTCGCCCTGGAACCCCAGTAAGCACCACGTGCCAGGTATTGTTCCAAGCGCTTTACATGTGGGAGGCCACATGGCATGTAATTGAGTACAGATTCTGGAGCCAGACTGCCTGGAGTGAAATGTTCTTCCCCACTTCCTTAGACACGTGATCGTGGGACAAGCCAGTAACTGCTCTGTGTCTCGGTTTCCTTCGTTATAGAATGGTGGTCATGGGACTTAACCTCGTAGGGTTGATGCGAGGCATTGATAAGAGAAACACCCAGGACCCCCATATGATGGTTGCCGCCCCTCCTTCTGTTGCAGGGCACTAAGAGGTAGCGTGGCTTGCCGGAGGTCACACAGCCAGTGAGTGGCAGGTCTGGGACTCATATCCCGGGCTGATCCCGGCCCCCCTGCTCCTGAGCACTGTGGGAGCTCTGGAGGAGATGAAGTCAGAGCTAGAGACACTGTTCCCATTACCCCCCACCCCCTTCTTTCAGGCTAGCAGGGGGAGATGGAGATGGCTGTGGGCCAGTCTCCAGGGGCAAAAAACACCCTTGGCCAGTCACTCTGATGGTCCACCTTAAAGGCCCCTGACTCCGCTTGTCACCTCGGCGGCCTCAGGCTTCACACTCAGCATGACAGGAGCAGGCTCTGAAAGCAGGGGCACCAGTGGGGTTAGTGCTCGTCCTCACCTGCCCTCACCCCCTCTCTCCTTTTTCCCAGAAGGCTGCAGGTCCCTGGGCCAGCTGGAATTTCCTCTCCCGGAAGCCGGCCACCCTGCCTCACCTGCCCACCCCCTCCTGGGATGCCCTGTGCCCAGCGTGCCGCCTGCAGCAGAGCCCGTCCCCCATCTTCAGACCCCCACCTCGGAGCCCCAGACAGTAGCCCGCGCGTGCCCTCAGAGCGCCAAGCCTCCCAGCGGCTCCAAGTCGGGTCTGCGCACGGGCTCTAGCTGTAGGCACACGGCGAGAAGCAAGGCCGCCTGCAGGCCCAGCCACCCCAAGCAACCGCGTGTGCAGCGCCCGCGCCCGCGCCGCCGCCGCCGCCGCCGCACTAATGGCTGGGTGCCCGTCGGGGCTGCGTGTGAGAAGGCTGTCTATGTCTTGGTGAGTGCCAGCTGTTAGCCCCGGGGGGAAGGGGAAGGTGGCCGTGGGGACAGAGGACCTGCTGTGAGGGGACCCCGGGAACCCTTGGCTCTAGCCTGTCTGGGAACTGATCGTGCTGGCCCAGCCTGCTCCCCCAGCCCCGGCTGGTCCGGTACCGCGGGCCTTGGGGAGGTGAGGGGGTGCACGGTCAGTGTCTCCACCTCTCATCCTTGCTCATGCTGTCTCTTCTATCGTGGCTTATAAAATGGAGGACTCTCCCAGAGGCTTTTTGGATAAGTGTATGTGTAGGGAAGATTGGGCTAGGCAGAGAATATGAGTGATCCAGGAACATCTGGGTTGAGGAAAAGAGTATCGACTAAACTTTATCGAGCTAAGGTGCTTTCATCCTCACCGCTACGCTGTGCGGTGCATATCCCATGTTCCTGTCCTCATTTCACAGACAGGGAAACTGAGGTATAGTGGTAGATTAAGTAATTTGCCCAGGGCCGTGCCACTTCACGGTGGTGGTTTAAAGATCAAAACCAAATTGCCCCAATAGGAAGTTTGAGGACCTTCTCGATGCTGGGGCTTGGAGCAGGGGAACTGGCTGTTGGGTTGTGTTGGTCACAGCGCAGCCCCAGAAGCTTTAGGCCACTTTCCCACCCCTGTTCCTATTTTTTTTTTTTTTTAAGATTTTTATTTATTTGACAGAGATAGCGAGAGAAGGAGCACAAGCAGGGGGAGTGGGAGAGGGAGAAGCAGGCTTCCTGCAGCACAGGGAGCCTGACATGGGGCTCGATCCCAGGACCCTGGGATCATGACCTGAGCCGAAGGCAGACACTTAACGCTGAGCCACCCAGGCGCCCCACCCCTGTTCCTATTTTGTATCCTTTCTCCAGCCATGGGGAGCTCCAACCCCTGTCCTGGCCCTGAAAGCCAGGCTTAGGGAGAAGAGACCACTATGCAAACTGCTTTTGTAGTATTCCATCCTCAGTGGTTTGACTGCCCGGAGGAAAGCACGCAGAGAATGTCTTCCGCTCACTCCCTCCTTCCTCCCCTCCTCATGAGCCCGTTTGTGTCGTTGGTTTGTTGCTTAGGATGAGCCAGAACCAGCCATCCGAAAGAGCTACCAGGCGGTGGAGCGGCATGGAGAGACGATCCGAGTCCGGGACACTGTCCTCCTCAAGTCAGGCCCACGGAAGACGTCCACGCCTTATGTGGCCAAGATCTCTGCCCTCTGGGAGAACCCTGAATCAGGTACCCCCTGCCTGCAGTCTGAGCTGGCACTGGTCTCTTCGTGTTCTTGCCACAGAGGCCGCCCTCCACTCAGCCAGCATCTGTCTGCTGCTGAGGGCCGCAAGATGGCCTGTGGTTTGGGTCGGCCACCAGGACCTGGGCACCTGTCCCCCCACCTCACCTGTCAGTACCTTTTCCCCCTTCTTCCTCCATGCCTGACAGCATTCCAGGCCCCTGAATTGCCAGGCTTGGCCCGAGGCAGGGGATATGGGTGGCTGAGCCTGTAGGATTGGCCCGGGCATCGACGTTGGATGATCGTCCCGGGCAGGTAGCCAGCCTGCCTGCCTGTCTGAGTTGCTCTGGGGTTGCCAGCTCAAGCCATGACTGCTTCTCCTGTCCCCCTAGGAGAACTGATGATGAGCCTCTTGTGGTATTACAGACCAGAGCACTTACAGGGAGGCCGCAGTCCCAGCATGCACGAGGTGAGTTGCCTGGCAAGTGTCGGGGGGGCCGGGGTGGCAGGGAGAAGTTGCGGCACCAAGAACATGGAATGGGGAGGCAGCCACGGGCAGTCAAGTCATTGTCACCTTGGACACCACAGACGGGCCTGGGTTTCAGCCTGTTTTCGCAGCACTGCCCCAATTCACATTTCAAAGGGAATAGTAACCTTTTCCTTGAAAGGGGGAGCAGGAAGGGAGACCCCCAGGGGCATGCCAGAGTGGGAGCAGAGTGGCTACGTCCTCGTGGCCCCAGGAAAGGGGAGGTGGGGCTGTACCCCTAGCCCCCTTGGCTGCTGTGTGTGGCGCGAGAGGGAGGAGAGAAGAGGCTCGGGACACCCCCGGGCACGCTACCAAGCGGGGTGCTGGGAGAGGTAGTGCCGTCGGGCGTGGTCACTCGGCCCCTGGCCTGGGCTCCCCAGCACTTCGTTGCCCTCGCTGGACCTTTCATCTCATGGGGAGATGGGTACCACTTCCCCTCTCCTCCCCTGAGCTGGGGGTGGGGGTCAGGAGGCTGATGACATGGGGCGGGGGGCGTTGCTGGATAGGCCCCTGGCTGTTCCCGAGTAGGATGGGACCTGGGAGGAGTGCCCTGGGGTGTGGGATGCTCCCTGGCTTTCTGGGCACTGGCTGGAGTTATTTCAGGTCAGGAGTCCCAACAGAAGAGTTAATGTCGGCCTTGCTTCTGCAGTTACATGCTTCCAACCCTGGTACCAACGTCCCCCTCTCTCTCCTTGAGCCTTTGCAGAATGAAGTCTTTGCATCGCGACATCAGGACCAGAACAGTGTGGCCTGCATTGAGGAGAAATGCTATGTGCTGACCTTTGCTGAGTACTGCAGGTGGGTGGTGCCCTGCCCGTCTGGCTAGCCTCTCCCCTCAGACTCCCCAGGGCTGTTTAGGGGCTGCCCGAGCTTCCCAAGAGGATTTCCTTCACAGGGCCTGACCTCCCAGAACGTTCTACCTCACAGCCTTCTTCTGCCTTCTGATGTTTGTAGAAGAAAAATTGTTCCTCCTCTGAGGCAGAGTGGTTGGGGCAGCGTTTGGGGGCGGCTACAGAACTGCTCTCAGAGAACCATCGAGGAAAATTGGCAGGTGTTGGGAGGGAGGTCCCAGCAGATGTGCTCCCCCAGTGACCGAGAAGATGGACTGGCGATCTGGCGATCGGCAGAGAGGCTGGAGCCCCCGGGCCAGGGATGGAGGCAGCACCAGCTCTTGTGGGGGTGGGAGGGGAGGCCCCAGCTCTCTGGGCAGGGTGGGGAAGGAGCTGATCTTCCTGCAGAGGCGGCTGCGGTAAAGACAGCAAATGGTGTGTGTCGCTGCAGATTCTGTGCCATGGCCAAGCGCCGAGGCGAGGGCCTCCCCAGCCGAAAGACCGCACTGGTGCCCCCCTCTGCAGACTACTCTACCCCGCCACACCGCACGGTGCCCGAGGACACGGACCCTGAGCTGGTGTTCCTTTGCCGCCATGTCTATGACTTCCGCCATGGCCGCATCCTCAAGAACCCTCAGTAGCCTCCGCAGGCCTACCCTGGGCCTGCCCCTGGGCAAGTGGGGCCCGAGGCGGGGGCACTGCTTGAAGCACGGCACTTGGTTAAGGGGCCACAGGGGCTCGAGGTTGCTGGCCTGCGGTTCTCTTGGGGGGAGGGCAGGGACCCCCATGGGTACTGGGCCCCTGGGGAGGGAAGGGGAGGCCAGGGTACAAGGAAAGCATCGCAGCCCTCAGCGTGGCCCAGAGTACCTCTCTGTGGTTGCCTGGGTGGAGACTTGAAGAAGCAGTCTTCCCTGAGGCTGGGCCAAGCCCGAGGGGCATGGGGCCCTGGGGGGAGGGGAGAGTCCAGTCCTTCAGGAATAAGGCCCAACAGGCTCTTCTTTAGCCCTCCCCGGGCCCTGCAAGGCGGGGGGAGGCGAGCGGGAGCCAGCTTTACCTCACCCACTGTGACCCACTGCTTCCCCCTCAGCCTGGGGCCAGGCTCTCCCAGATTCTAGCACAGCTCCGAGCTCCTTCCTTTGAGGCATAGAGAGCCAGAGTCTGGCTTCCAGAGCGTAGACTTTCTCTTTCTAGACTCGGGGCCTTTCCCTGGCTTCCTCCTTTGCCCCTGCAGTAGCCCCTGCGCTGGGACAAGTTACCCAGTGCGCACAGTCATGGGTGTGGCCCACTTGTGGGCGTCAGCTTCCTGTCTGCCTCCTGGTGAGGGCCATCCAGCAGGTCTGGCTTCCCAGAAGCTAACTGGTCAACATGGGGTTTGTCATGTCTGGGAGGGCGGAAGGGAGCTGGGAGGGGGTGGGCAGGGGGCAAGGAAAATTGCTACCTGATTTATTGAAGACTTTTCCTCTTGCCTTACACTTGGAGGTTGTAGGAAACCTCTTGCAGAACTTCGTACCTGACTCTTCAAGCCACACCCACCTGAAATCAAACCAAAGGAGTGCTGTGGCTCCCCTTGCCCCCCACCCTTACCCTGGTCTTTTGTAGATTGCACTAATTTACATCCCTGCGAGAATCAACACTGTATCAGTCCACAGACCTGCTGAGCTGCAGCCACTCACTCTAGGAGCTAAGGACCTGCATTTTCAGTTTGTTCCTGTTTCCCAGGGGCCCTGTTCTCACCTCATGCTGCTCCCCAGAGTAGGTTAGGAGGCTGGGCCCCCTGTTGTCCTTGCCAGGACTAGGCCCCTGGCCCCCCAGGGCTCTGTGAGGGGGCTGGAGCAGCCTGGTCCTATCCTATTTGTACCAAAGAGGAGCATTGGTGGGGAGGGGGAGAGGAGCACTGTGTGGTCTGGGCGCCGCTGGTAGCACTTCCCCAGGGCACACCCCTGGCGGCAGGAGCCAAGAGGGCAGCGGGCAGCGCTCCTCCTCCTCCTCCCCTAGGAAGGGGCAGGCACAGACCCAGCCCAAGCTAAGGAGGTGACACTGGGTGAGGACAGTCAGGCTGGGTCTGGAGAGGGAGGTCAAAGCGAACCCCCAGGGCCCTGCCAACAACCCCAGGCCCTGTGCTATCCCTGAGAAGACAGGCTGCTCCCAATTGGTCACTGGGCTTGGGGGAGGCCTGGAGGCTTCAGAGGCGAATTTACACATGGAAACCCCAATCCCAAACCCGAGGGGAAGGGACTAGGGTGCCCTTGTATTGAATAAGCTGTTTGGAGGAAGGAGTGGGGCAGTAAAAGAGGTTGGCAGAGAGTGGCTGCAGGGGCTCTGGAGAGCCAGCCTGGGAGCCTGCTCATTCCCAGGGTGCTGGGCTCCTGCGGCCAAGGAGCCCAGCCTCACTCAGCAGGAGAGGAGATCAAGGCCCCTCCTCCCCCAGAGGCAGGGTCTGCTGCCCAGAACTTAAATGCTTTTGAAATCTCTTAGATGTGGAAATATTTTTTCGAACCTAAAAATGCAGCTGGTAGAATTTCAATGGAAGCATAATTCATGTAAAATATATTTTAGTTGATATTTTGTAAAATGCACTTTTTGTGTGTGTCGACCCTGGTTTCTCAGATCTGTATTTCAGTGTTTACAAGGGAGGGAGGACCTTTCCTCACCTCCCTTTTGACAGAGATTAGAAGTACTTCTTTAAGAAAAAAATAAATTTGAAAAATTGTATTGATTTAGAAAAGGATTGTTCCCTGTGTGTCCTGTCATCTTTTTGGGGGGGTTGTATGTGCAGAGGGGCTCACTACTCTTTAGTAGTGAGCCAAACAAATTGGCCTTAAGGCCAATAAACAAATAGGGCAGGAAAGTAGGGGGAGAGCAGATGGAGGAAGGGAGACGGCGGGGGGGGGGGGGGGGGGGGCGGCGAGGAGAGCTTCTCGGCATCATGTGGCCAGAGCTACCTGCCTGGACAATGTGAAATCCTTGGGTGGCCAGCCTTGCCCTGGCCAGTGACCTGGGAACTGGTCCCCAGGTAGGTGCAGAGAGTGGATAGCACCTCATCACCTTGGGTCATGTCCTTGGGGAACCGGCCAGCAGAAACTGCCCTAGGGCCTCAGGGTCTAGTCTGGCCCTCCTTGCTGAGGGAATGAAGGTCACATCACAGGCCCACGGTTTGTGACTGCTTGGACCTTGGTTCAGCCCAGCCTCCGAGTTGACCATACTCCGTGTGGAGCAAGCTTTGTGGTCATGGGGATTCCTAGGGGGCAGAGCATAGCTGCCCCCCGCCTCGTTCTGGTATGGACATCGGGGCAGGTGCATTTCGATAGAGGGTGCTGGTGACACAGACTTGCAGAGCACTGCCACACTGCCCACCAGAGTCCCATGAGGTGGGTAGTGGCCTATCATTCTACAGATAGCAATGGTGTGGAGACAAGTGCCTTGCCCAGGGACTCTCCCAAACTAAGTGGCTATTCCTGTACTCTGACTACTTTGCTGTGACTGCTAACACAGAAGACTCTTTGGAGGAATGAGCACATGTTGCCAAATTATCCAAACATTTCAAAGGTTTTGGTTTTTTCCCCCTCTTCTAGTATAAAGAACATTCATTGTTTAAAAAAAACAAAACAAAACCGATTCCAGTAGAAAATAATCCCAACACCAGAAATCTACATTCAGTGCTATTGGAAGCGAGGAGCAGTTCAGTGAAGGCTGAACCTGAGGCAAACTTCTAAATCAGCGGATGGTGCATCCGGAGATGCACCCCAGCAATCAGGCAGTGAGATGTCGGGAGCCCACTGAGAAGCCGGAAAGCCAGCAGGCTTCCCACTCCTTCCCTGCACTCATCCTGTGTGCTCTCACATTGCTAGGGATCATGGGCCATCCGTGGGCCCTCTAGCTTCATCTAACCCCCGGGACTCCTCATGCTTCTGAATTCATCTGATCAGTGGTACGTCCTTCTCCCACTAAACTCAAAGCCTCTGGCATCTTCTATTCCATTCAGCCCTTTAGTACTATAAGCTGGGATCGGCTGCTTCCTCCCAACCATTCCACGTTTGTGGTCCGTTGATCTCTGAAGGATCGCGATGAGGAACGTAGGTTTTAAAATCAGACTGACCCATATAGAGTCTCAGCTTCCCTGAGCCTCTTGATTTCCTCGGCTGTGCAGTGGGAAGGCCTGTAGTACCTGCCTCCCAGGGCGCCTCTGACAACTGAAAGAGAATACCAAACACTGAGCAGGCACCTGCCTTGGTAAATGTGGACTCTGATCACATCACTACTCCCCTTCAGAGCTTCACTGGCTCCCCACACATGCATACCGAACAGGATGAAGTCTGGACCCTTGGCTAGGTACTCTGCTCAGGTGGGGAAAGGCTGGCCCCTGCTATCCTAGGCATTCCCATCTCTGCCTGTAGCCCACATGGTCCGCCTGGTGCCATTGAGCGCGTGCTTGGCTCCAGGCAGGGAGGCTGCTGCCTTGTGCACCCCAGCTCCTCACCCTTCAAGATGTGTGCTGATCACACTAGTGATCACCAGGTACCGACTTGTCATTGGCCCCTCACCAGAGTGTCCTAGTTATCCCACCTCTTCAGGCCTGGGGGAGGAAAGACAGGAGGGGAGAAGACTTCATTTCCAGACATTTCATCATTACCCAGTGGATGAACACGGTAATCCACCAGGTACTGTTAAATCTAACGGTCACCATGGAGATGAGCCACTGGTCAGTGCTTGGCAGTCTTGCTCCTCTTTACTGGAGTGGCTAGGGCAGGGTGGGGCGGGGGGAGCACACCGGGGACTCTGCTTCCAGCGAGAAAGAAGAAGGGTTTCCCGCAAGCTTGGACTTAGCGCACAGCGCTGCGGGTGCCCTCCGCCTCCAGACGCGCTGTTGGAGGAAGGTCTCAGCCAGGCCCGAGTGTGCGGCAGGGCGTTGGGTGCAGGTCCTCTCCGTCCAGCTCCCCGAGGGCACGCGCTGCGCGAGAGCGAGCCGTGGCCTGGGTCTCTTTTGCCTTTCGGGCCTCGGCAGCTTTTGTCTCCGAATCCCGGAGCACCAGGGCGGCCCTGGCTCCGGCGCCCTCTCCCGGGTGGGGGTCTGCACGCACCCTCCGAACCCGCTCGGTGCAGGGGCGCCCGCCCCTCTCCCCGCCCCCGGCCTGGGCCCGCCTCCGCGCCTATGTCACGGCGGGGCCGGGGGCGGGGAGCTGCCGGGCGGGACATCCGGCCACGGTCCCTCGCCGCGCCCGCCCGCCCGCCGCCCGCCGCCCGCTCCGGCGCCGCAGCCGGGGAGCCGGCCATCCCCACGCGCGCCGGGGCCTCCCGCCCGCGCACTCCTCCCCGAGCCCTCCCCGCAGCTGCGGGCCCGAGCCCCCGGCTCCCGCCCCCAGCCCGGGCCCGCCTCCCGGGCCGCCCTCCGACCGGCCGGGCCGGCGCAGGCCCCCACCCCGGGAGCACCATGTTCCCCCGCCCGCTGACCCCCCTGGCGGCCCCAAATGGCGCCGAGCCCCTGGGCCGGGCGCTGAGGCGGGCCCCGCTGGGCAGGGCCCGGGCCGGGCTGGGGGGGCCGCCCCTGCTGCTGCCGTCCATGCTGATGTTCGCGGTGATCGTGGCCTCCAGCGGGCTGCTGCTCATGATCGAGCGGGGCATCCTGGCCGACATGAAGCCCCTTCCTCTGCACCCTCCCAGCCGCGAGGGCGCGGCCTGGCGCCGGGCCCTCCCCAGGCCTGGGGGGCTGTCCCTGGAGGCCGGGGACCCGGACTTGCAGGTGAGGCAGGACGTCCGGAACCGGACCCTGCGGGCCGTGTGCGGACAACCGGGCATGCCCCGGGACCCTTGGGACTTGCCCGTGGGGCAGCGGCGCACCCTACTGCGCCACATCCTCGTGAGTGACCGCTACCGCTTTCTCTACTGCTACGTCCCCAAGGTGGCCTGCTCGAACTGGAAGCGGCTGCTGAAGGTGCTGGCGGGCGTCCTGGACAACGTGGACGTGCGCCTCAAGATGGACCACCGCAATGACCTGGTGTTCCTGGCAGACCTGCGGCCCGAGGAGATTCGCTACCGCTTACAGCACTACTTCAAGTTCCTGTTTGTGCGGGACCCCTTGGAGCGCCTCCTGTCCGCCTACCGCAACAAGTTTGGCGAAATCCGAGAGTACCAGCAGCGCTACGGGGCTGAGATCGTGAGGCGGTACAGGGCTGGCGCGGGGCCGAGCCCTGCAGGGGACGATGTCACCTTCCCCGAATTCCTGAGATACCTGGTGGACGAGGACCCTGAGCGGATGAATGAGCACTGGATGCCCGTGTACCACCTGTGCCAGCCTTGTGCGGTGCAATATGACTTTGTAGGCTCCTATGAGAGGCTGGAGGCTGATGCCAACCAGGTGCTGGAGTGGGTGCGGGCACCGCCCCACGTCCGCTTCCCGGCGCGCCAGGCCTGGTACCGGCCGGCCAGCCCCGAGAGCCTGCACTACCACCTATGCAGCGCCCCGCGGGCCCTCCTGCAGGATGTGCTGCCCAAGTACATCCTAGACTTCTCCCTCTTCGCCTACCCGCTGCCTAACGTCACCAGGGAGGCCTGTCACCAGTGACCGTGGGTATGGGCCGGCGGCTGCTGGGGACTGGTGTTGACAATGCCAGCTACCTGCCATTTAGAGAAACCCTAGCCCGGGGGACTTGGGGCTTCTCCAGATGCCTGGATGGCCGGCACTGCCCTCAGAAGTTCCTTGTCCACGGTGGGTGCCCACAGTGGCTCAGAGTACAGGGTTGGTTGGACAGGAGGCCTGGTGCTCCCCACTGGGGGGATTTCTTAGGGGCCATGTGGCCTTTCTTGCCCTGGCCGGGGCTAGACCCCGGTTTGCCAGCGAAGCAACACATCTGTTCTAAAGACTGGCTCCGGGCCCCTGGTTGCAGGGACCGTGCCGTCCACTTGATCTACCTTAACCTGCGGCCAAACCTAGAGGTGACACCAGTCAGGGGAATGGCCAGAGCCAGGGACCCTGGGCTCTGACCACCCACCCATCTGCTCCCCGTGCCTCAGGCTGCAGTCCGCATTCGTGCCTTACACATGACTTTCGTGCCTTTCTGCTTCAGACTCAGAATTTCCTGCACTTTCCAGGTTCTTTCTGTTTTTCCAAGGAAAGGAAAACTGAGTCAGGGCCCTTGCCTGGTAGCTCCAGGACCTGGCCCTGCACACATCCAAAGAGCCCTGTGCCCAGCCTTCCTGGGGGGCTCTGGGCACCTCCTCCCTTGCCCCAGGGTTGTGACTGCGCTGGTGGATCTGGCTGTCTCTTTTCTGACTCATTTATTTAAAATTTGTACTTTTTGATAGAATGCTTGTGAAGGCTTTGTTTTCCAAATTGCTGAATTTTTAATAAAGTTGTTTTGTATACAAAAGCAGCATCCGGAATTCTCTTTCTGAGCTCCTGTGTGTGCAGAGTGTCTCCATGACGCCTGTCTCCTCGGGTCAGGAGAGGGAGCTTGCAGGTAGAGAAAGTGAGACCAAGCGTAAGTTGCTTGGGCCAGTCCAGTGGGCCATTTCCAGACCAGGGAGCCTTGGGGGGCTTCCCGTAGGCCATACCCGATCACAAACTCAGCTTCTGGGATGCCAGCACGGGACAAGCCCCATGAGGAAGGACCCCCTGTCTAGAGCACACCTACATGGATTCTTCCCTGAAGAAGGGGGTGAGTATGAGACATTGACCCCTCCTCCTCCTTAGGCAGGAATACTTCTTGATTGAGGAGGCCCCAGATGCAAAGG